GGCAACTCGTTTTGTTCTTCTCAGTTCAACGGCAAATGCGATACGGCGTTGAATCTGACGTCTTGTACCGCCACCTCTATGACTCGGGACGAGCGCAATGGCGTGAAACGGAAGCAGGAGGACATGGACGGTGGCAAATGCGCGGTAGGCAAGTACGGCGTTGCGGCAGTCACCAATCGCACCGGTAACCAACCTCATTTGCACCAACAGAAGGGTTACTCGAACCGTGGAGGCGGTGGTGTAGGGGCACAGAAACAAACTGGTGGTGGTAAGAAAAACGGTGCCGGTGAAGGCGAATATCAGTTAGTTAAGAACGAAATGCTGACGTCGATGTACAACCAGTACGAGGTGCTAGAATTCCTTGGAAAAGGCACTTTTGGTCAGGTAGCGAAATGTTGGAAGAAAGGCACCAAGGAAATTGTGGCAATCAAGATCCTGAAGAAGCATCCGTCGTACGCGCGACAGGGTCAGATCGAGGTGAGCATCCTGCAACGTCTGAGTAAGGAAAACGCTGAAGAGTTCAACTTCGTGCGGGCATTTGAGTGCTTCCAGCATAAGAACCACACGTGCCTGGTGTTCGAGATGCTCGAGCAGAATTTGTACGATTTCCTGAAACAAAACAAGTTCACGCCGTTGCCGTTGCACCACATTCGTCCGGTATTGCAGCAGGTGCTCACCGCTCTGTGCAAACTGAAGCAGCTGGGCTTGATCCATGCCGATCTAAAACCTGAAAACATCATGCTCGTCGATCCGTCCAACCAGCCGTTCCGTGTCAAAGTCATCGACTTCGGTTCCGCGTCACTCGTCACTAAGGCGGTCACCAACACCTACCTACAGTCCCGCTATTATAGGTAAGCATTTAATTCGGCTGCTCTGGCTTTGCCTGATCATCAACTGATTCAGGGCGCCGGAAATAGTTCTCGGACTTCCTTTCAATGAAGCGATTGACATGTGGTCGCTCGGTTGCGTTGTTGCTGAATTGTTTCTCGGCTGGCCGCTGTATCCCGGATCTTCTGAATTCGATCAGGTACGTTGAATAGCTCTGCATCGTTACATAGGATGGAAGTTTTTTCTTAACGTTTCTCGTTAGCCATTCATGATAATTATTCATCTGTTTCTGTTTCAACGGTTTCAGCCAAGTTTTTTAATACAAAATATTACTGTAGCTAATCTTTTAATGCGTCTCGCATAGCCAAAAAGGCCGATAAGTTTCGCTACGGAGGTAAAATTGTCATGGCATATCTAACAATAAAGCCACTACTGTGCTTTCAAAAGTATTTTTTGGCTTCTCCATTGTAGCTCTGTGGTCTTATACATGACCGATACCACATTGGAAATGTCTCTATATTCTGTGTAGTCAAGTATACTCCAAGCAACTCAAAACAGTCCTTAATTGATCATTATTTACACGCTCGCTTGTTTTGAAATGAAATTCACATTGGGAAGACTTAACAGAAGTTGACTTAACAGCCGTATTAAACAGCACTTTTGCAGTTCCTGCATTGTCCACCACTTCATTACTGAGGGTCCTCCTTCAGTAAGGTGCAAGGATGTGTAGACTACCGAAACCGTTCAAGTTTAAATCATCTCATGAAAAAGTTCCTTCATTTTCTGACACTGACATCGCATATGCAATGAGCACCCATCTTCCATTATGATTCGACAAAGGTATTAGTGTTATTACTAACTACCGGAGATACGTCGTGAATAATGCTCCCCACTCACTCTTTCTGCAGGTTATTTATACCGCATGTTCTGTTTTCGTTGTTCAGGCGTCTTTGGCTTCTTAGTTGCATCCATGTGATTCTACGATTTCTCTAGCGAAACGCGTCAGCAATGGAACGTTTTGCCATCCGCTGACCTTTTTTTGTGCCCATAATGATGAATAAGGAAATTAGCTGAAGTTCCAACAACGGGCCTAGGATTCATTTATTCTTCCCAAGCTTATCTCTTTGTCTATGCTTGTAGTTAC